CGGGCAGGGCCACAGCGGCAAGAGCAGGCTCGCTCAGCTGGCGAAGGCTGCTCCAGGGCTGCAGTGCCCTCATCCAACATCCCAGGCCTCCTGGCCGCTGGTGCACATGCACAGAGCAAAACGTGGCCCATTCCCACCTTCCACCCCGCGGGCTGGAGGGACGGAAGAAAGGGCAGCCTGCGCCTGCCTCCACCAGGTCCCGGGCCCCAAGCCCCAGAAATTCCAGGATTGTCAGCGTCCCCAGCCTTGCAAGCAGGAGGCTTCTGAGTTCTGGAGCTTGCTGGGCTAGTGGGGTCTCCCCACCCGCCTAGCAGCAACTAACCAGCTTTGGCCTCAACAAACCGCAGTCTCAGCCGGGCCCTGACACTGCCAGTTCTGTAGGCTTGCCTTTGGGTAATCTTCACCCTCTGTGCACCTCCACATCTGAAAGGGATGTGGCACCTATAGCGCAAGAAATGGTTGGAAGGCCCAAAGGAGGCCGCTGGGCCAAGGACTTAGAACCCCAGTCAGGGGTATTCCAGACCCCGAGGTACCACCACCAGCCCTGTCACTCTTGACCCTGGGAACACCTGGCTTCCAGTCTGCTACAGAATCCCAAATGCAGTCCCTTTGAAGAAATCACAGGAGAATGCCCACGGGGTGCACTGCAGTGCTTGCGGCTAGGAACATGCCCCATGCTTCTCCCACCTCCGCTGTGCCCTGAAACTACCCCATCATAAGGCAAAGGCTTAATGGGAGGTATTTCTAGCTTTCCTCATCGAGAATCTCGGTGAACCAGGGAGGACCCAGGCCGAGTGGCTCCAGCTGGGGGCATGGGAGGAGGGGCGATCCCTCCCTCATCTTGAGCCTCTGGTGGGAGCGGGGAGCTTTCCCAGGACCTCAGCCTAGCCAAGACCTGCAAGCCTGGAGGCCGAGCGCCCTCTCTCTCCCAGTTGGAGGAACCGACCTGAAAATGCCTGGCCGCTCAGCAGGGTTTGCCAAAGGGAAGTCAGATGTAGAGGCTCTTGGGGGCGGGGGTCTTGAAATGGACCTGCTACTTCCTTAGATCCTTCTCCAGAGTTCCTATTCTAAACACACCTAAACCACACTGGCCTCGGGTTTCCATACTGCGCCTTGTCCTGGAACCAGTGATGCACAGGCAGGAGGGAGGTGGGGCCATCTCCATGCTTTCCCTCCGGTCCTCCCACCACCTACTTGTGCTGTAGCTCTCCCTCTGCCGCGGTCTACCAGCACAGGCTCCAACCACTTGGCAAGTTCATTCTTCAGCCCAATGTCCCTTATTTGGTCCGACTCCTGAATCTCTTGCGCCCTGAACTATTGGCTTTAAGAGGTCCTCATCTGCTAGCTCCTCACCTACCTCAGACTCCTGGGGGAAAGGGACCGGGCCTCTAGACCCTGCCTAGTGCCAGACCTGGCAGTGATGGGGGCAGTTTGGTGAATGAATGATTGGTTTGGTGAGTGAGAGAAGTCATTGGGCCAGTGAAGGGTGTAACAGCACAGTCCCCAGCACACGTCCTCACAGTCATGTTCCTGGCTTGACCAGCTCCACCTTCCCTTACTGCCAGCCCCACCTGGGCAGGTTGGGGTGGGAGGGATGAGGGGCATGTGGAAGAGCCTCAGCCTTGGGGAAGGCGCAGCATCCTGCCCACTGCTGGCCCTCTGGCCTGTGGGGGGGGGGGGGAGGAAGCGGAGGCTGCAAGGAGGGTCTGCACTTTGTTCCCCTTGGCAGAGGGGCCGCCAGCCCTGCCACTTGTCATCTGCTGGGAGGGATCTGGGTCAAGCAGTAGTCAGAAACCATCTGCTCGGGAAGCTGGGATTATCCCGCCCTCTGCTGATCCCCCAGCCCGCCGAGCCAAGGGTGTACATGGAGTTCTTCCAGATCACCTTGTGCTCTCAGGGGGGCGGGGGCTCCCCACCCCCTCCTGAGGGGCAAGACCCTGCTCCTGGAACTTCGAACCTCGTTTAGCACTGGGCACAGTGCTCTGCCCATTGATGACCTCAGCCTCCAGTCTCTGCCAGGGCTATGATGGCACCTGTCAGTTTTGAATACAATAATGCACATCAATTTGTGGTCAGTGCCCTTACCACGGCTACAGGGCCAACAGCTCCCACTCAGGACGCTGGATCCCTGCCATCAGCAAGGGACTGACGTACAGTAGACATGGCATGAAGGAGACAGGGCAACACGATGAGTCCGGGCACGCAGGAGGGGGTAGGGAGGCACCCTCTAAGGAACTCATACCTGCTTTTTGCTATCTTGCAATTGCTAATTGGGGATGATGAAAATACCCACAAATGGCAAGGTAAATCAAAAACTGGAGCCTTGGGGCGTGTTTGCTCAAAGAACGAAGAAGTTGTGTGCAGTTGCTGCTGCTTGGCTCCTACCTGGTATAGTGGTAAAGAGAAGGCCTTCTCGGGATGGTGCAATGAATTCACCCAAGTGTCCCTGCAAAGGAAGACCTGGCAATCTACTTCCAAAATCCAGCCATGAACGCCCTAGTGCAGTCCTTGGATGACACACGAGGTCACCGTGAGTTGGAGACAACGTGACGGCTGCTGGTTTGGTTTGGGTTCCCATCAGAGGGCTGAGAGAAAAGGCTACATGCCAACTTAGACTCGGTGTCCTGCCCAAATGCCACCCCAAAGCATGGAAAGTGGATGGCCCAGGCATGTCCCCAGATGCGAAAGAACTAAGCTTACCTTTTAAAGATCTCAGACATAATATGGAACCCCACAGATTGCCCCAAAGTTGCCGCAAGTCTTGGAGGTCTTGAATCAAGTCCTTGATGAACACAGAATCAGCAGGGCAGGGGGAGGAGGGGTGTAACTCTTTTGATTAGAAAGCTTCATGTTTCCCACCAAGGCACTAGAATTGAGGCCAGTCATCGAGGCCTTCAAGAAATAGGGGCCAGCTGCATCCTCAAATTCCAACCGTGGCCACAGCATTGTGCCTCTGATAACTTAGCTCCTTCTACACTACTTTTCTGTAGCTCCCTCGCATCCATTGGAGTGCATGAATCAGTGAAGGCTTATGAGCTAATTCACTCTGAGTGGCACGAACAGTTCAACACTACTAACTTAAAGGTTGGTGGTTCAATTCC